CTGGGGTCCGGAAGACAGGAAATCAGTATGTGGGAGAAGGGAGAGTTGAGTAGAGAACTAAGAATCACTGGGCTGAAGTGTTACTCATCTATTGCAGGGAAATGGCAAACCAGGTTAGGGTCAGCAGACTTAGGGGTGGGGGTCAGGGTTCAAAGGTTATTCTCACCGGGCAGGCAGAGGGCCCTCAGCCTCAGGTGGGCAAGTTGGACATCTGCAAGACTAGGCAGCTCATCCATAGTGTCCACCAGGACAACATCAGAATGCCCAGCCTGGAGCATGGACTCCACTGTTCTGGAAGGGAGGGGTCAGAAAGTGAGGGGAAGAGTCTGCCCTGAACACCTAGCCCTTGGTGCTTCTCACCAAATGTCCCTTACCTGATATCCTCCTTGTTAGGGTCGCTGGCTGTGTAGAAGCCTCCACAGCGGAGAAGATCACTCCCCCCAGGGTGATGCCAGGACAGGCGCTTCAGATGGGTGACAGGAGGATCACTGTGGGAGAACCTCCTAGCCCCACCCTACCCTTGCCCCCACACTGACCTCACAGGGATCCCCTCCCTCCACAATGACCCCTGACCTCCCATAACCCTCTAATCCCCAACATTGCCCTGACCCTCACACTGACCGGTCCACGACCCTGATGAAAGTGGCCAAAGGCTCTCCTGACCTCACTGTCCAGAGTTCGGATAGGAACCCAGAAGTAACGGGAGAGGCTGTGAAATTGAGAATTATGTCACATCTTGGTTCAGTGACCTGATAATGCAAAGCTGTGATTACAAGGATGCCGCTTAGGAGGGGATCATTCCAAGTGATCTCAGGCTCAGAGATCCAAGAGGCAAGGGGCACAGTTTTGTGGATGTCCCAGGAGGCTGGAGCGGGCGGGAAGCATGGCTTCAGAGAGTCAGGGAACTGTGGGAAGACTGGGAGGCTGCAGGGGTCAGGCCGGACTGAGGGGTCACCTGGTGGCTACGTCGAATCTCTCATTGACGAGACTGACCCTCCAGCCACTGGCTCCCTGCTTCTTCCTCTCAGTCTCCCAGTCTTCTGACGTCTCCAAGAGGGGGACGGGTGGTGTTCTGGAGCCAGCGCTCTGGCCTAGCGCAGGAGGGAGGCGGAGGGGACGAGAGAGAGCACAGCTTCTCAGCTCTGTTGTCTCCAGCCGGCCTCTGCTCTTCAGACTCGTCACCCTCTCCTCGCCCCAGAGCGCTCGCACTCACCAGCCTCGCTCAGGGTTATCCCTGCGTACTGTTGGGTTTGGCTGCTCTGAGCTCTGGCTTGGACAATGGCCATGGTCACCTGTGGAGGAAAGGACATCCCGTCCTTTTAGCTCAGACTGAAGTGAAAGGAAGGAAATGGGGCATACTGCTTCATTGTCTTTGCCACCAATAAAGAAGGACAGCCGAGACAGTCCCTAACGAAGGGAGTTGGGGTCAGGAAAATACATCTAGAACCACAGAGTCACAGAGTGTTAATCCTGGAAGGAATTAAGAGTTGTCTTCTCCAACCCTCCCTGTTTTTCAAAGGAAGACACTTGCCCACAGTCACATGCCTGACAATGGGCAGAGGTGGGCTACGATTCAGGCCCTTCACTCTCATTGTACTGTCATTTATCCCAGCCTTCTAGCCACTCCTTGAGGAAACAAGCAGGGAGACTGAGAGGAATTCTGAGAAATAAGGGAGTACTGGGAAGTGCCAGAGAAAGGACCCCAAGGTTCTCAGGGAAGGAGTGGTCCTTGGGTTGCCAGCCTCTTACCTGAAAAGCCTGAGGCTCTAGTCCTCCAGTCTCAAAACCAACTCTGAGCAGCCGGAAGTCTCGGCCATGAATCAGGATCTCCTCGGGGATAAATTTAAGTAGGGACCCTGGACGGTGGAGTTGAACTCGAGACAGGCTGCTCACTGAAGTCAAGAACAAGAGAGTAGTGTAGCCAGGGATCAGGGTCCCCGTAGGGGCAACTCTTCCTGCCCACCCCACTGCGTCCCTGGCTGCCCTCTGGGAATACCCACCCCACCCCCCAGTGAGCTCCGGCACCAAAACTCCACTTACCAGCCTCTAATCGCCCAATGTTGGCCAGGGCAAAATCATACTCACTGCTCAGGGGAGTCTCCTAGAGGAAGCACATGACATGCTAAAAGACATTTGAGGTCTCACATTCTATCTCAGCAGCCCCTCACCTTCCTAGAGATAGATCCCACTGACTATCTCCGATACATTCAAAAGAGAGCCTTTAAGCCCTGGCTGGCGTAGCTCAGTGGATTGAGCGCGGGCTGGGAACCAAAGTGTCCCAGGTTCGATTCCCAGCCAGGGTACATTCCTGGGTTGCAGGCCAGAACCCCCAGCAACCGCACATTGATGTTTCTCTCTCTCTCTCTTTCTTTCTCTCTCTCTCTCTCTCTCCCTCCCTTCCCTCTCTAAAAATAAATAAATAAAATCTTAAAAAAAAGAGAGCCTTTAAAAATAACTCTCTTCACCCTGGCTGGCGTAGCTCAGTGGATTGAGCGCAGGCTTCAAACCAAAGTGTTGCAGGTTCGGTTCCCAGTCAGGGCACGTGCCTGGGTTGTAGGCCATGACCCCCAGCAACCGCACATTGATGTTTCTCTCTCTCTCTCTTTCTCCCTCCCTTCCCTCTCTAAAAAATAAATAAAATCTTTTAAAAAAGATAACTCTCACTATCTCACTTCCTATAATGCTCGTCTAATCCTTCTAGACTCCCCTGCCCATTTCCTGCTGGCTCTCCTTTCCACTGGCCTAACCATCTCACCGGACTCCGCTGCCATCCACGGGGCTGGAAGGTGACCCTCAGGTTGGTGCAGATCAGGGTTCCAGGCAATTCAGGATCCAGCCCCTTCCGCACCCCTGGGGCCCAGGCTAGGACCTGCTCCCCTGCAGGAGAAGCCAGGTTAGGACCATTGTTGGGGTTGCACACAGAGGCACACCCACTCCTCTGAGACAGCAGAGCCTCAGAGGGAAGAGGAAGAGCCTCTTCTAACTCCTAAGAATGAAAGCTTAAGGAGAGAACTTGTAATCTTTTACTCTAGAGCCTAGAACAGTGCCTGGCACATAGTAGGTACTCAAACATTTATCGAATAAATAAATGACAAAAGGGGTAACAGAGGGACCATCAAGGTCCAAGCTTCCAGCCAGCTCTGGAGAGAGTGGAGAGAATAAGTCTCACGCAGAAGAGGCACTGAGCCAGGAGAGGAATACGAAGGTATCTTTAGTGAAGGTATGGAACGAGGTTGGAGCAGGATGAAATCTGAAGGCGTTTCTGAAGATCGGAAGTACTAGAAGGGCATTATTACCTGGGAGGCATCCAGAGGCCAGGCAACTGCCAAGCTGACGACTCCCGGGCTCCGGCATCCCACTCCCCTGGACAGACTTTGGTGCAGAGGGCTGTGAAGGGTGCAGGGTTAAGCCCCAGGCATCGCCAACCCTGGGGTCTGGGAATACCTGAGCAGCCACCTTTGGAGGTCCACACTCAGACTCTCAGGGGAAACTGAGATCAGTGGCTGTGGGGTGCTGGAGGCCAGGGTTGGCAGAGAGTAAAGGGAGGGAGGGGCTGGTTAATGGATAATGAGACGATGAACTTGAGACTGAAAAGGACAGACCAAGCTCCATCAGCCGGAGTTGCTATGAGACACACCCTCCTCTGGCTCTAGATCCTTTTCTTTTCATCATCGCCATTCACACCTCTTGCTGACAACCCCTTCCCCCAAACCCGCCTTTCCTCTCCTTACCCCCATCTCTGGCTCCTCCTTCTGGGGGGCGATGTTGAAACTCTGGCCCCGGCCCCCCCACCACATTTCTCCCGCTCCATCCGGAGACGGAGCAGTTAAGGGTGGGAAACCTCGAGGATGCTCAAGCCCCTGGGGGAGAGGCTGGCTCTTGCAGTTGAGAAGAGGGAGGTCAGGGATGGGGCAGAGGAACACTCAGGGAAAAGGAGCGTTTGATGTGCACGGAGCACGATTTGGGGTCTTTGAAAGGTGTGTCCAGCCCAGCTAGAGGAGGCTCCTCGGAAACTTCAGTCGACTCTGGAGAGGGAGGGAGACACGCCCAGCCTCTTAAAGGAGTACACACACCATTTTGGGAAAGTGGAGGGGAAGTGGAGGAGCTTGGGAAAGGTGAGGAATAAAACCGGGAGCCCTGGGGGGGGGGGATAACCCAGATTCAATTCTTTACCCTGTTCCCAGCTCTTATTCACTTCCTGTTCATGAGCATTGGAGACTGTTTGAGGGGAGCAGTAATAGCGAGTATTAAACTGGAACAATTCGGGCCTCTTCTCTAGACTCTCCGAGTGGTGGCTTTCCTGGGAAGCTTGGTTTTTTAATATCTCAAAGGGGGCGGGGGTGGAGGAAGTGGGAGGAACACAAAAGTAGTTAAGGCCTCCTTAACGGCCACCCTGGACAGACCTAAGAGAAGGGGTTGGGCAGTAAATGGAAATTGGACCTCAGAGTTTTGCCTGGGGAGCCCCAAGAGCTGGGGAGGGGGTCCAGTTGGTGTCTTTGTACACCCTTCTCCAGACACCATGAAACATGCTTCGTGTGCAGGGTGCAGTGGAAAAGCAAGAAACTGAAGTCCCTCCAGAACGCAGACACAAGTACGGGTATGTTTGTGTGCAAGATCTGGGGTGGGGTGGGAGGCCCAAGGAAAAGATGTCACCACTTCATCACACACACACACACACACACACACACACACACACAACCAGAAATTGGAGCCCACTCCAGGTATACAACTCCTCCCTCCAGCCCAGACACCAGATCTCCAAATTAATAATTCACATTCAGAACTTTGAAAGCTGAGGGCTAGAGACCTCTGTTCAGTTCAACAAGCCCGCTCCTTCTCCCTCCCCCTTGCAACCCAAGAAGCAAAGGCGGGGGGGGGGGGGGGGGGGACACTAGGAGGGAAAGGAACTGCAGGTGAAGCGGGTGAAGCGGGCTGGGGGAGGAATGCAAGGCCAAGTCTCTATTCAGATGTGAAAAGTGAAATAAAATACAAAGCAAGAGTTAACGAGCTGCTGTTTTATTGATTTTGAGTCTGTACAGAGACAGCAATCCTTAGGTGGGGCCCCAGTTTTCCAAAGTGTCACTTTATTCTCTCCAACCCCCAGCACACACACCCTTCCGGTCTCAGCTTTAAAAGTTCCCTGTCTTGGCTGCAACTGTGGAAATAGTGAAAATACGTGTGTGAGGCAGGGAGTCAATCCGGAACAAAGAGGCGTGCACCTGCTACAAAGGTGGACGGTCCCTGAGCCCGATTCTCCTGATTCTCGAGGCCCAAAAGCTACTAAGCACCGCCAGCCCCACCTGCATTCCGTGGGCCTCTTATCTCTGAAGAACATACTTCCCAAGGTCTGCTGCAATATAAGAGGTGTGTACCACAGTTTTAAAATGTCATTGTCCACTTTCCTCCTCCCCCCACCCTTCATTCAAGAGCCTCATCCTATTAATACTTTGAGGTAAGGAACAGCAGAGGAATAGAGAAAAACATCAGGGGATTGGGGGGAAGTCAAAGGCAAAAAACCAAAACAAGAACCCCAAACACCTGACTTGGATTAGTACCCAACCAGGAATGCAGTGGGGTCAGCAGCCGAGGGGTAACAGCAGGACCACCCCTCACCACCCCACACACCCCCAGCAGAGGCTCAGCGGATGGAAGGAAGGGTGGAGAGGCAATGGGGCTGCATCAGATTTTTCCATTTTCAGAACCCTGATCTGGTTGCAGCTTTGTGCCAGGAGTGAAGGCTGCAGGGAGGGGCAGCTGGAGGAGGTGGAGCTGAGTGACTCAGAAGATGAGTCACAGATCCTTATAAGCCCAGAAAAAGGCCAAAGTCCTCCCCACCCCCACTCCTGTCAGTTCTGCTACCGTCAGCCAGCTTCCGTTCCTACTGGCCCTTACCCGTGAGGCCAGTGAAGGGAGGTGCCCTGGAAAGCGTCTACACGGGAGACTTCATAATAAATATTTTGTTCATCAACTTAAGTACATGGGGCAAAACAACCTGTGACTTGCAGACTGGGGAGCTCCAGAGAGGGAGGCAGACTGCCTGTGTGACTCCCTGAATCTACAGCTGAAGGGCCTGGCGTGAAAAAGACGCTAGAAAACTGGGCGAAGATGACGCCAGGTCGGGAAGGGGCTTCTGTCTTCTCACCCGTGGTTGTGTCTGGGGCACTGACTCGTGGAGAGGGAAGACACCGAGTCCACAGGTGTCTGAGTAACTCAGGGACAATCGTTTCAAGCTCCTTTATTGAGGAAGAAGAAAACGCTGGGCACGTGGCTGTTCAGAAAGGAGTAGCAATGGTAAAAGCTGGGTTCTCAGAAGTCACTCGGAACCAGCCTCATTCTTTCTGGCTCGGCATCACCTCCCAAATACACAACACGAAGTCACTGCTAATTTCTGTTTTGCCTGGGAGCTCTGGTTTTGCCTAAGAAACCGAGCCAACAGAAGAGGGGAGGTACTCCCCTCCTGGCCCTACAGCACTGCTTAACAACATGCCCACTCCACAAAGAGATCGAATCTTTAAAAAAATATATATATATATATATATATATATATATATATATATATATATATATATAATCTTTTTATTTTAATGACAGAATCCAGTATGTATGAGGGAAAAACTTCTGATTAAATCTTGTAACCTTCAATAAAACCAGCATAGATTAAGGGTTTTTGGAGGCTTGTAGTATACTTGTTCCATCAGGATTGGGGTGAATTAGGGTGGAGGGGTAGCAGTCTCAAATCAGCAAGGGAAAACCCCCCCTCTCCAGTAAAATACCTCACTCGGCACCCCAGCACCCTGGACTAAAGGAACTAAGTGCACTTCTTTAAGCCTGAGAGACAATTACCCCCACCCCCAGACTTGTGGGGTCTGCCTCCCCCCTTCACCCACGGACCTCTCCTTAACTAAGGTATTTTTGCTCATTTTGCGTGCACAGCATGTACCTCACGTTTCCCCTCTCCCAACACAGTAATTGCATGGGCTTGCCTCTTCCACCCCCTCACCTTCCCAAAATACCACAAACCAACCCTACGTCATTTCCCAGGCAATATTCCTTCACCTGCTCCCCCCTCCCACACAACCCTCCTCAAAGAACGAAGCAAAACAAACCTTACTCATCCCTATAGAAAAACATCCATTGAATCAGCGTCCCTTGTCCTTAGAATGGAGAGGTTTCTAATGCCTCAATAGTTACCTTACCAAATTAAGAAAAATATCTCTTAAAAAGCTATAGGGCCTAAATAGAGCCCTAGTTTACCATACTCATACCTAGGCCAACGCCCAGAATTTCCATCTTTATTTGAAAGAGATCAGAAGAAATTGGGATTGTTAATTTATAAATCAAAATAAAAATCAAACATGACACAAGGTTTCCATTTTTGTTCATTTGTCCTCAGTTTTTTAAAACAAAAATATAACCTAGAACTAGTAACAAAGCAAACCCAAACACAGCAGTCCAGTGGAGAACCAGCACTTTCCTGCTCTACTCTCTGGGGAAGCCCCGGCCTGGCTCCGCGCCCACCGGCCCGGGCCAGAGCCCATGACAGCACGGACGCCCGTGAGAACGCCAGGTGAGCTGTGCACGCTCAGGCTGAGAGTTAGCGCACCCGTGGGTGCATATTAGGGCAGGGAAGCCCACAAGGTGGTGGCCTCACGAGGAGGGGTTGTTCTAACCCCAGAAACAGGGCGAGGTGAGAAAGGCACTCGTTTGGGGCACAAAATTTAAATGGTGCCCCAAACCCAGTAACCAAGATACTACTTTAATGCAGTATTTTTTGAAAATCAAAACTTAAAAAAAAAAAAAAAAAACACCACAGTGAGCAAAGGATCACAATCTGAAGTAGAGACAGGATTCAACCCCATGCTTGCTCATCTCCGCCTTCCTTCCCTCACCCTAATCCCAGTCCTGTGGAGTCCTGTCTTTTAAGATTTTAATATTTTGTTCATTGTGGATTTTTTGCATTTTTTAAAAATTGCATTAAAACATTATTTTGATTACCGAGTTTTTGGCGTACCTCTTAAGCTTCGTCCCTGGGAGGAGTGCTGGTCTCATACTAGTCCCAGCCCTGCCCAGAATACACACACGCCCTCCTTTGGGGCCTAACTCCTTTGACCTCATTGCTTCCTTAAAACCCGTCTACTTTCAAATAAAAGCTTAAGAATTCACAGCCATGGGAAATGATTAAATCAACAGACTATGAGATTTGGAAAATAAGTGACTTCCAAGTTTGTTGAGGAGGAAGGAACCTTTCTAAAATGTGAGCAGTTCCAAGGAAAAGGAGTCTTGGTGGCTTTGTTACCAATGGGGGAACAGGGCGACAACTCTCCTGATTGGGCAGAAACGACATATGGCGAACACGAGTCCCCCAGCACACCCCCGCAGCCCGTGTCTGCCTTAGATCACACGTAGGGGTTACATTCCATGGGCTGGGTTGTAAGTACATACCTCCAAGTACAGAAAAATAGCCCCAGTTAACACCTGGACACTTAAGTACACTTACTCCCCTTCCGTGTATGTACCCAGGAGTGCATACAAATTGCATAGTTGATTTATTTTTCCCGGGGGGGAGAAAGAAAGGAAAATTGGCCCAGGATAGGTCCTCTGGTTTAAAGCTCTTAAAAAATGGTGCTGGCCAGAGCGTAGGCTGTCCAGGCTTGTGCTTTGTGCAAAATGCAAAGGAGCGTTCCCCCACTGTGTCCACAGGCCCACTCCCACCCCCTGGGGGAACAGCTGGGTCAGGGGAAGGGGGAACTCTGAAGACAGATCTGCTCATCGGGAGTCATCTGTGATCTGTGGTTATAGTTCACTAAAATAGATTTCTCTACCTACCTTTTATAAATCACCCCAGCCCCTACCCCATGTTTCAACATCAGTCCTATTATCAAAAATATCTCTTCTTACAAAGTATTTTTTTATTATTTTAATAAACTAACCACAGATTAAGGTCAGCTATGGCTTAACAAAAGAAGCCGGGATGTTAAGTTCATTCTCTAAAAGTAGAGAGGAAGGAGAAACAATCACTTAAATAGGGGGAAAAATTATCTTTAAAAACGTTTTTGCTTGCTGGGGTCTTTGTTTCTTTTCCTTTAAAAAAGTCAAAAAAATAAGTTGCTTTCTACAGAAATGCAGCAGCAGAGGATGGTAGTGCTCGATTTAGGTTTTTGGTTTTGTCTGAAACAGTCTGGCCAAAGGTCTGTCCTCCTCCCACCCCTCCCCAGGCGCGCTCCCGCGCCAAGATGTGGTTATTGCTAAGTAGTTAAAAAAGGTCACCTCCACCCCGATTCACCTGGAGAAAATTCCACACACACACAGCTGCTCTTCTCATCACTCTCCTCCCTTCCCCAGAGGGCACTTTTTCCTTTTCCTTTTTTAAATAAAATGAAAGTCTTTTTTAAAAAAATCACAACCACCTTAGCTGAGCGCAGCCCTCAAAAAGGATGAGGAGATGATCGGGGGCAATCGGCAATCTCTTGAACTGGAACAGACGACAGACGGTATTTAGAAGGAAATAAAACCTAAGAGGAAAAGGATTCCCCTTCTAAGTTCTTCCCTTTCCCATCACAATAAACCGATTGAAGCTCCCTCCCCTCTAACAGGCACCCATAGGCACACATTACTGCCTTGTCTCTCCAGATTATTCAGGAGAATATCCAAACTAATCTCTATCTTAATTCAAATCAACAGCAAATGTGTCAATTTCCCAGCTTCTCTCCACACCCCAACTCCACCACCATGTGCTCTTTTCCAACCTGAAAGAACTTTGGTCTGTTTTTTTCCTTTATTGACTGAGAACCACCTTTGCCTGTTCCTTCCCCAGACGTCTGCTACCTCCCCACCCCACACCTGCCCCTACTGCTTTCCCTCTAGTCCTGGGCTGGACCCAAGGGGTTAAGAGACAGAATCACCATCCTTCCCCCTTGTACCTCCTCAGTCCTATTAAGGTGTGCAAGGGACTCGTCCAGCCCTGGGGGTGCCGGCCTGGCAGCCCTCCAGGGCACACACACGCAGGTTTCCAGCCAGGCTCCCACAAACATCACTGCAGTTGCCCCAGCAACACGGGGGCTGGGTCTTGATGAGCCAATTAGTTGAGCTTAACTTTCTTTGTTTAGCCCCCTTGCCCTCCACTCGCCCCCCCCCCTCAGAACCTGTGCACCAGGAGCTCCCCACCCGGTTCCCGTTCCCGCCTCCTCAGTTCTTCCCTGTAACAGCAGGAGCAGAAGTTGTTTGTCTCGGGGTGTCCATAGAAGCTGCAGTTCGGTTGTTTGCATTTGGTCTGGGTTGGGGGAAGCCCCCTGGGCCCTCCAGCCCATCCATCTGGCTCAGGGGGCTCTCGGAAGCCGTTGCTATAGGAATCAGCAACACGGAAGTGGGGTGGTAACAATACACCCCTGTGGACTCCATCCTTGGAGTGACTGCCTGGCTCCAGAGAAAGGCTGCTGTCCTGATGGGGGTAGGGTCGCCCAGGAGGGCACTGTCTAGGGAAGGTGGCATATGGTGGAAGGCCCCCTCCACACGGACCCCCTGCCAACTGCCTCCGGGGTTCCTGGCAGTGAACTCCGCCCCCAGAAGGCCGAGGGATTGTATAGCCCCCAGGGTAGCCAGTAGAGAATGCCATCGCCTTGGACTCTGTTTGGGGGGCAGTCAGCAGCTCCTCCCCACCATCTGTCTCTGGTTTTTTGGCTGGAGGAGGCCCACTCCCCACCCCTCCATTCAGGATCTTCCTCTCTGCCTCCTTCTGTTTCTGCTCCGCCAGGAATCTCTCCTCAGCATCAGACAGGTAGCGCTGGATCATCTCCTCCTGATACTGGTGACGGTGACCCATCTTCAGGGTTCCAACAAAAATGAACTTCCCCTCCCCTTGCATCGCAATCCTCATGATGCTCAGGCTCTGCATCACCTCCTGGCTATACTTGCTTCCTCCGTTACCCACGGACTCAGAGGTGGGCTTCTCAGACACAGGCCCATCCCCCGCGGCCTCCTCTTTGCCACCCTTCCAGCTCTTCAGGGAATTTTTCTTCTTCTTCTCCAGCGTCTCAGTGCCGCTGCTCAGCCCTGACCCCGTCCCCATCCCCCCAGGCTTGGAGCCCTTGCTGTGCATCAGGCCTCCCATGTTCTTCTTGAGCTTACTGCCCAGGGTTTTGCCAAAGCTGCCCAATTTATTAGCCACCGAATCGGCCCTCTTCTTGTCTTTCTCCCGATCCCGTTTTGACTTCTCCTTCCGCTTGCTGCCCTCGTTGCTGGCAGAACTGCTGCCGACCGACTCTTTGTCTGACTCCCCGGACTCGGGAGTGGACCGGGGCTCATCTCCAGCTGAGGCTGTAGGGGACTCAGGCTGGGCCAGGGGAGCCTGAAAGAGACAAAAACAGGGTGGTCTGTTACCCCATTGGTCTGAGCTGGGGGAGGTCCCCAGGGACCCCTAGGTCACCATCTGGCTCATGGGGCTCCCTGTAACCACTGCTATCGGAACGGGCCGTGTGGAAGAGGGCAGTAACGCCACCCCTGGGAACTGCATCCTTGGAGTGACTGAGTAGTGTCAGGGAAGGGCTGCTGTCCCGATGGGGAAGGGTCACCCCACAGGGCACTGTCCTTTTGCAGCTCCAGTCGCCGTCCCTCGGACAAGGGAAAGCTGTATCTGACATCCAGCGTCCGTCTTGCCCCCTGCACTGACCTCCTTCTGCAACAGGGGGTGTCTTTCATTGTGAACTTCTCCATGCCGAATTCATCCCAAAATCAAACTCAAGATTAAGTCTCGACTAATCTCAACCAACCCACTCTCAGCACTCTGGCGCCCCTGAGCTGTTAGACATCCCGCACAGGATGTTAGACATCCCAGCAGCTTGCCCTTGCCCGTGTCCCCCCATTCTGTGCGAACTACTGATGTCCTCAAATGATCCTGCTGGATCAGGAGCTCTTGAAGCTGTTCTGTCTCCTCTGGTGCCAATGCAGAGGTCTATGTACAGACAGCTCGGGACAAAGTAACAACAACATCAAGTTCACCAAAAAGTCCAGAACACTTTTCTTGAAGAATGTGTTTTCGTACTAGAAAGCAGAGCTTGGCTGGAGAGCAAACGTGGACAATGGGGCGCACTAACAGGTAGAAGGCAGGAAAAAGGGACTTGGGGAACTTCTCTGACACTGTCCAGTTATTGCTAATCTTGAAGCGTAAGCCACCGCTCAGAAGACATTCCGCAGGGAAGAGCCACCAGATCTCCTTGCTCTCGCCATCCCTGACGACGAGGACCTAAGTTCTCACCTGTGCATCCGAGGACACTGGGATCCACTTCACATTCATGTAGCTGTGCAACAGGTGCAATTTGACCTCTAGGGACAGGATCACACTGTGAAAAGGAGAAAAAAGGAATCAGAAATGTACTGAGACCTTTAAAAGCGAAGCAGTGCTGTCACCTGGGAGGGAGAGTGGGTGAAGGCCACGTGGCTTGGGACTCAGGGTCAGGTCTGAACTACAGCGCCACCAGTTCCTAGGCTTGAGGACCTTGAGCAAGTCGCCTCAACCTCTCTGAAACTCAGATGGGGTCAGTAATGGGCACAGATAATAATACATCCTGTAGGGTTGTTATGAAGATTAAAATAGCATTTAGAAAGGGCACAGCGTAGTGTCTAATAAACAGGAAATTCTTACTACATAGTAGCCATTGTTATCACTGTTATAAATATTATTTAGAAGGAGCTTTTGAAAGTTAGGTGAGAACTTACTTTAAAAGCCATAAATTCTGGGTTTTTCGATCAAACCGTCTCGGCTGGGTCTGTTTCAGGGACCCAAAGAAGGGAGCGCTGGGGGAGGAGGAGTGTTTCCACTCACACACGCTCCCCAGGAAGCTGTGCTGGGAAGCAGGAGGAAGCCTGAACCAACTTCTGGGAGGCAGGGCAAGGGGTGAGGGAGAATATTTCTTGCTGTTTAAATTCCAGAAAGGCAAAAATCCAGAGCAAATTATTTTGGTCAACTATTTAAAACCCCTCTCACTTAGCCTGGGGGAGAAGAACTGTGAATTATCTTGATTTTCTGATCACTGCTTTGAGGATTCTGGGCGCTATCAGTATAAGAACACTCTTTATATCGTAAGGAAAGAACACGCCGAGAGCCCAGAATTCCCGTCTTTCACAGGAGGAGCAGCAGCTCCACACTGCACGAGGCCTGCTGCCCGCCCTGTCTCCCGCCTGTCTGTCCATCGTCCCAAAGACACGGGGTGAGGGCGTGACCGGCTTGCTCCCGAGCTGCAGAAAGGCGCCCAGGAGACACTGTCTGTGCGAGAGGTCACGGCTACACAGCAGGTGAGACGGGTAGGCCTGCCTCACCTGGCCAATCGGACATTGTCGCTGTCATCTTTGCCCCACTCCCAGCTCTTTCCAGGGTCCACAGCAAAGTGCAAGGGCAGCAGTTTATGCTCTGAATCTGTAAGCGGGATCACAGCTGCGGGGGGAAAACAGGTCGTCAAGGAGTCTCTTCAGGGAGAGAAAGGCAAGTGAACGCACACTGACTCCACTAAAAAGGCAGACTCACACGACGGGCCCCTCACGGTAACCAGCCACTTCTCAGGTCTGACATGTGAACCACCCCGGCACTAAAGACTAGGCAGGTTTTCCTTTACTCCGCAGCACACAATTTAGGCCATTCACCTCCACGACCCCCACCAGTCAGTTAACGAACACTCGTGATATTCTTGCCAGTTAAAGTGGATTCAGGGAATTGAAAGTCAGTAAGACAAACACAGCAAAGCATCATTTGGAAGGTTCTATGACCTTAATATGTAATCTCTTCAGAACAGGGAGCAGGGAATACAGGCTACAGTGTTTTGCCCTGTACCTGTTTTGGGTTTTGTTTTGTTTTGAATTTTTAAAACACTTGCCTATCTTATAACTTAGTACTGTGGAATAGTATCAACAAGCACCAGCTTGGGCTTGCACATCACTGAAACTCTTTCCTCCTCTGTTCTCTCTCATTTCAGACTTTCCAGGTGAAAATGAAACAGACCCCAAAACACCCGAGACACAGACACCGCGCTCAGCACCTTGTTCCTTGCCATTCTCCTTCTGCTCCATGGACACGAGCGCAGAGAAGTGGGCCTGATCATAGGCGAGCACCAGAGGGGAGCGGTGACACTGGCTGGCTGGGACCTCCAAGGGCAGATAGATTCCCCCGAAGGGAATAGGAGCAAATGCTGCAGGAAACCATGAAGATTATCACTAAGGCCATGTTCTTGCCTAGCAGGCGATCCCTCTACCCCACTCGGCCGACTGAGTCGCCCCTTTCATTGCAACCCCTGCTTAATAACTGTTTCCTAAAAAGCCTCATCAATTAACCCCAACTTGCATCTTTTGACAATTTAACCTTGTTCCAATTTATACCTGTTTTCTCCCCAAGGGTCCACGTGCCCCCTTTCCGGCACTCCTCCCAGAGCTGAGCCCAAGGCTCTGCGGACACTGGGTGCTCAGGGCGCAGCGAGCGCTGCTGACTGACTCACCTTCTCCCCCGGAGTCCCGCAGCATGGTGTCTGCCACAACGACTATGGGCCTCCTGAGCACATGAGCGAGGACGAAGACGTGGAATTCTTCTAGACTCTCATACACAGGCTCCTCTGAACTCTCCACTCTAGAGTTGCAGGAGGGGAGAGTGTGGAAGGGGTGCAGTGGGCGGGAAAGGGAAGAAAACAAAACAAGAGACCCCTGAAGACCAACTCTGCACACAGGAAAGAGAAGGGTGTCCTTTCCTGGTCTTCCACCCCCAAGGCCGCCACAGCAGAGCCGATTACTTTAAGCTCCCACAGCTGTTTCCACTTCCATTTCACAGACGGGGAAGTTCAAGGCTCTGCAGACAGGGAAGGCTCTATGGTTAAAGCAGTGGTAGGAATGTGAAGGCAATTCCTCTCTTAATACTCATCTTGTTCAACAACCTTCCCCAATTCTCTTTATAAAGTAGCTAAATACACAACTGAGTTGCCTCATCCTGCTGACTTCACCTACCACAACCACCCACACATCAGACCCGGTCCAATAAAAACAAAAACAAAAATTCCTCCTCCTATGTTCCCTTACTTGGAGAACAGCCTCCTACCTACCTAGTAGCCTAACCAGAAATCTGTGAAATACTTTCTTTATCTCTCAACTCCAATTAATCACCTGGTTTGGCCAATTCCTTCTCCTAAGTGTCTCTTGTGTCTGTCTGCTCTGGCTTATCTGCAACCCCACCACTCTGGTCCTGCCCGGGCTCTCTCTTTCTTGGATCACTGCAGCCGCCCCAGTCTCCCCTCCACTTCATCATCCACTCTGCTGTCAGTGTGTTCACATACACGGATTTGCTCCTGTCACTCGAGTACTCATAACTCAGCGGCTTTCCGCCCCCTTAAAGTGACGTTATTCAACATCTGGTGCTTGCTATAAACGCGGAGTTCTGGGTCCTACCCAGTCCAACTCAAGGGTGAAAGTATTGAAATCTGGAGTTTAATTTTATGCACAAAAGTTTTAAATATATTCAAAACTAGAAAGAACATTATACTAAACTCTCATGTATCCATCACCAGCCACAACAATTACAAACACATGGTCAGTCTCTTTCACCTACACCTCCATCTATTTCTCTAACAGCTGCCACCCCCACACACCCAATTATCCTAAAGCAAATCCTAGACATGGCATTTCATCCATAAACATTTCAGTTTCTATCTCTCTCTAAAAAATAGAGGACTCCTTTTAAAAATACCCACCATGCTATTAAGAGCACACTTTAAAAAGTTAGCAATGGTCAAACATGTAGGCATTGTTCACATTCCCTTAACTGTCTTACACATGTCCATACATTCCAATTGGTTGATAAGTCTCTTAACTGTCTTTAAACTTACATTCCCTCTCCCCTATTATTTTCCTTGCGATTTATCTACTGAGGAAATTGGGTGATTTGTCCTGCAGTTTCCCAAAGTCCAGGTGGGACACAGCTCCACCTCCTTGGCGCGGCACACGCACCCTGGGCTGCCCAGCCTCATCCACTCTGCACCACGCACTCTACGTTCTGGCAGTGCTGACCTACCTAAAGCCCCTCGACCACACCACGCTATTAGACATTTCTGTGCCCGTGCCACGTCTCCTCTCCTTCCTCCTAACATCCTCTTAGCACACGGCGCTTTAGACTCTGAGGACTCCGGTCAGATTATTTCCTGCTCCCCACTTAGCCATACGTACCCACCACAGTTGGCTCCATTGGTACCTAGATGCATGCGGGGCTCACTTGAGGCAAGCTTGATCAGCTCATTCCACTCCTTCTGCCATTCCTCCTCTGTGTATACCAGCCCTGACTGTGTGAAAGACAGGCATTGGATATCAAGCAATTAGAGGCCAGATTCAAGGGGCAACAGCCATTCCAACTGACTCACATCACCCCACTCCCTGTTCTTTTAGCACTCGGCCTACAATTTGTACTACAAAGTCAAATCTCTTCTCCCTTTGAAAACCAAGATCCATGAAAGAATAGTCTATGATCTCTCTCATGTTTTTTTCTTCCATTCTTCCCAACCCATTGCAATCTAGCTTGTTCCTGCCTACCAAGCCTCTGCCTTTCACCCCCCACATACTACCTCACCCAACCAATTCTGGGCAAAGGACAGTGACCTTGTAATTGCCAGCCGACTCTGGTTCTCATCTTTCTTAGCCTTCGTGTGGCATTTGATCTCCTCTTTAAACTCCCTTCTCCTTTAGCTCCCACAATATTACTTTCTCCTACCTCCACGAACGCTGCTACCTCAGAAACACTGCTGTTGTGTCAATGAGTTTAGCCTTGGTTCCTCTGGGCCATCTCCTCCCCTACCACCACCATCTAGCTCATCTACTGCCACCTACTTGGTCAGGACTCTAACCTCTCCCTCTCCAGCTGCAGGCAACCGTGAAGATCGCCACTACGGCTATGTTCTTGCCTAGTTCTTGCCTAGCAATCCCTCTACCCTGTTCTGCCAATTGAGTCCTCCCTTTTGTTCCAACCCGTTTAATAATTCTTTCCTAAGATCCCTCATCAATTGACCCCCACTGTTCTTCTCTGAATCTTTGGAAAATTTTGCATGGTTCTAATTTACACCTTGTTTTTCCCCCAAGGGTCTCTATATCTCCTTTCCTACACTCCTCTCAGTGCTTAGCTCAAGGCTCTGCAAACAGTGAATATAATTCCTGTATTCACACTCGGCTGCCTACTGAAGATCACCACCTACCCACAACTACCTCGAATTCTATACAGTCAAAACTGAACCTCTATCTCTTCCAAAGCCACTCTTCTGTGTTCCTACCTTAGTGAATAGCACTAAATAGCACTCCAACACCAAAGCTAGAAGCCAGGGAGTTGTCGAAGACTCCTCTCCTGTCACCTACACACACCCAGATGATCCCTTTAGTCACCAATCATTAAGCATGAACGACTGCAATGGACCCTTAAAACTGGTTTTACTACTTCCAGTCCTGTATTCTTCTGATCCCTTTTCCACAATGCCTCCACAAAGATTTATTTGTAAGTGAAAACCTGATGATGTTTGCTCCCTGCTACAAACTCCTTTAAGAACTATCATTACCTATTAGATACAGCATACTCCTTAAGCATAGCATACAAAGTCCACCTCCTGGCCCCTGCCCACCTCTCCAATCCAACACCTCATTTAATTAGCTGTGGTGTCTTCAATGCACCATGTTGTTTTATACTTCTGAGCTTTCGTCTAAGTCAGAGGTGTCAAACTCATTTTCACCAGGGGCCACATCAGCCTCGCGGTTGCCTTCAAAGGGCCAAAATAATTTTAGGACTGTATAAATGTAACTACTCTTTAACTGTTAAGGAGCTGAAATTACATTCGGCCCTTTGAAGGCAACCGCGAGGCTGATGTGGCCCCCGGTGAAAATGAGTCGGGCACCCCTGGTCTCGGTTGTTCCTCCTGCCTGGAGCAGCTGCTCCCTATCCTCCCGGTGACTACTTCCTCAGCTGTCCGGTGAGATCTCAAGTACCACTCCCCCAGGAAGCCGCTCCTAAACACTCCCGGTAGACCCACCGCTACTTCCTTTGCGCCCTCCCTCCTCACCTGCTACCCGGACTCCTATCACGGAAGTCATCACCCACTGCTCTGCTGCGCCTAGGCATTTACATGCCCGTCTCCTACTGCTACTTTTAAGGGCCTCGACCAAGCTTTATGCAAAATATCTAGTGCCTACTATGTAATCTATAATCAATAAATACATGTGCTGAGTGAAACTATAATTTTCACCAAAGAAGCAGAAGTAGTACAAACAATTTAAGAATATTATATTGGCTTTAGGATGTATACAAGTGATTTGGGAGACTGGTCTCTAACCTATCAAATTTGGCTCACATTAGTATTAAAATGAGTCTGTACTGCCTAAACACACCCTGACAAAGTAAAATGAATCGCAATGGAAATATGAGGGGGTCAGGAACAAACTTAACAGGAATTAATGAGCTACTGTGAGCACATTCTACTTTAATTTCAAAACAGACAAAGCTATTTTAGTTTGTAAAATGACATCATATTTTTTTCAATTGAAAATAAGAACTATGTACACGTTATACATGGGGTGCTCTGGTCACTCTGATGTATGGTCACTGCTTGCTGTTCTTATACACACACAGCCACTAGGTGGCGTGCCCTTCTAGCCTGAAAATGTTCTTACTGGGTTTTACCACCAATTTCCACACAAAAAAGGAGGTCTGGGAAGTCAAAACCGTTTTAGTTTGTGTGGTGCCTGGTCCTGGCTAACAGAAGCTCCCCAGCCCATCACCACCCTCCCCCCATCCTCACTCCCAAGGTCTGATTGGTCTGAGCTGAAACAATGACCTGGGGGGGTTCGACCCGGGGGCCTGCGGCCCACTTGCGGCCCAGGATGGCTATGAGTGCGCCCAACACAAAATCGTCAACTTACTTAAAACCTTTTTCTGGCTCATCAGTTTTCGTTAATGTTTGCGAATTTAATGTATGGCCCAAGACAACTTTTCTTCCAGTGTGGCCCAGAGATGCCAAAAGGTGCTAAAGACACTAAAAAAATTATTTTATTCTGGGCTATATTTCTAGTATAGAACTCTCAATGTGCCCAGCAAAAGGAGTAAAAAGACTGCTCCTCTGATAACCACTATTCTCTCTGCCTGTATTTTTCACAGGGTCTCCTCGCTAAATACTATTATAACCTAACCTCACCTTTAAAACAATAACTATGGCCCAGGCTGGTGTGGCTCAGTGGAGTGAGGGCTGGCCTGTGGACCAAAGGGTCACTGGTTCGATTCTCAGTCACGGCACATGCCTGGGTTAGGCCAGGCCCCTAGGAGGGGGCGCGCCACAGGCAAACACACATTACTGTTTCTCTCCCTCTCTTTCTCCCTCCCTTACTCTCTCTCTAAAAATAAATAATTAAATGATAATAATAACTATACAAGCTTAAAAGCTGGAAATGGACGCCCTATTCTCCGACTGTTGCTATCACTTCTACTTAATAACCAGCATGCTCTGGTTTGGCCTCTACTTGTCCAAGTGGTCAAATACAAGGTGAAGGTTCAGGTTCTGGCACGGTGTGAGGAAGACAAACTCTGGGCTGGCTCCAGGTCAGGCAAAAGGACTTGCCATTTACTTGGCCTTGCCCTGTGCATTTATTTTCCTCAGGAAACTTGTTCTAGGGCACACTGCTGATCAAAGATAGAATTCTCATTTTAGTATCATCCAAGTTTAACAATGGGTTCTTTGTTTTTGAAAAAGAAACAGAACCCATTCTACTTACATATCTAAAGTCTTTAGGACATAAAATTCTGACTAAAACCAAAAAATTTCTCAGTTCTATATATTTTCAGTTATGATACAACAATAAGGAAAAGAAAGAAGATGGAAAGGAGAATTTTAAGTCTCTGAAGAAATATCCTCATTAATTCCAGAAACACCCAGCTAGATACGTATGTAGCAAAAAACAGATATACCCGAAGAGCAGGAGATAAACACAGAAGATGGAACCAGGGGAAAAGGAAGTAGGGGGACCCACTGTGTTTACATAAATATTAATGTCAGTATTAAAGGGAAGGGGTGGGTAAGCTTTTTCTATGAAGAGCCAGATAGTAAATTTTTAGCCTTTGTGAGTCATACCCAACTACTCTATCCTGCTGCTATAGCAGGGAAACGCTTCCATAAACATACACATGTAAATAAATGGGTGGGGCTGTATTCCAGCAATTTTTTTTTTTTTTTAACAAAAACAGTTGGTGGGACTTGGCTCACAGGCCATAGTTTGACCAACCCCTGCTACGAGGATGGAAAGTACAAACAGTCTGTTTTTACGTTCATGTACGAAAAGCAGCTTCAACCCTGGCTAAACTACTGAGAAGTACCATTCAAATTCAATGTAACAGGCACACTTTAAAATTTTTAAAACAAACTCTTTGAAAAATAAATGGTATGTAGAGCCGAAAGTATTTTTAAGCATTTATATTTCTATATGGGTTTAAAACACAAGTCCTTAAAAACTGGTCTTATTCTGAGCAATAAAATCAAAATGATACAAAAATCCTATGAACTCATCATATCACATTTTGCAAAAGGCTGCCACTAAAGACTTACTGAGCCCCTACCAGGAGAAAAGCACAGGTCTCGGCTTCCCCATACCAATACTCGTCACTATATCAGAAAACGTTTACCCTACGGTATTATCTGCGTTTTCTACAATTCTCCAGGATTACAGGAAGACCCAAGCCCCTAAGCAACAGCAGACACTCCTGACAGGCAGGCACTGGGCATCACCCCAGGATAACTTTGGGAAACAAGGTGCTCCCCCACAAGTTCCCTCACCTCCTTGTTCTGCTGCGTTTGCTGCCACCTCCAGCGTCGTTTTAACGCTTCCTTCTCGGCTCCCTTTTCCATCAGTGCATACAAAGCTTTCCGCAGCATCAAGTCCCGATCGTGGAAACCCCACATCCCTGTGGCAAGAAAACGTAACAGACATCTTACCACGACTCAACTCCACCTGTTAATTATGATACACAGACCCTGGCATGAAGGAAATCAGGCTGAAGCCCAAGTTCAAAGAAACCCTTCTGTGACTCAGGGGAAAGGTACTTAATCGAGAAAGAGATGTTCCTACTCTGGAGGTTCAGAAACTTGGAGGACTTGAAAATGGAGGACACACCACCTCCTTCCTACCAACACTGACAGGAAGCCCTCACCCCTGATGCAAGTGTAACACACTAAATGGGCAGCAGCAGACAAGACAGGTCTGGCACATGACACTCAGCATCACAGCTTGATGGACAGTTGGAAAATGGGGACTCTTTAAAAGCTAGGCAAATAATATATTGAGTTATAAACAACCTTTATAATTTAAAGTTAACAAGTCTCACAAAGGACAGATGAAGACATATCTTTTTCTATACACCCAAAGAATAAACATTAAGTAGAATTATATACACACACAGAGCTATGTATTGCTTGTTTTCTGCTGCTCATTACTTCTGAGGGTCACCCCTCAGAGCGGGACCCATGATAAGCCTGTGCTCTATACATGATTTCTGAGTAAGACTGAGAAAACCAGGGCAGGGCTGTCTCCCAGCTCCCCCGCACCAGCACATGCGCGCACCCCCCAAGTCCTGCACGTGACACTGATCTCTGATTCCTTTCCACAAGGGACGAAGGGCCACTTTCAAGACTCACCAAGAGAGGCTGCGTGCAGAAGGCAGTTTCCATCTCCAGTAGTTGCTAAAGGAAGCAGCCTCTGACAAGTGGGGTCCACGCTCACCCACCAGTTCAAGCGCCCTACAGAAACAGGAAGACAAGAGCAGATTACCCATAAAGCCCTTCTCACCTCGCTATTCTTAAAACAGACTCCAAATTTGCCTCCTCTAGGAAGCCTTCCAGGACAAAATCATCATGCTATTACTCTTTATATCTTCTTCACTTAAATCTAATCGATCATAATCCGGTGAACACAACTGGTTAGAACAGTGGTTCTTAAGTGGGGACGAGGGGGCATTTAACAATGTCTGGAAATATGTCTGGTTGTCACAAATGGTAGGGGGATCCTACTGGTATCCAATAGGTAAAGGCCCGGGAGCCTGCTAAACACACTACAATGCACAAGACAGCTCACAAAAGGAAAAATTATCTGGTCCTCAATGTCAACAGCAATAAGACTGAGTGACCCTGGGTTAGATGATGAGGCCAAGGTCATAGGTTGAATTCGGTATTGGCTACTTGGTCTGATTCCTTCACTCTGGTCAGGAGATTAGGTAAATATTGGAGCAACCGTGCTCAGCACAAATCCTTCATCAGTAAAAGAAAAAGAACCTCAAGCATGTGTTCGAAGTGTCATACAAGTATCATTTGCATATGACAGTCAGCACATCAGCACGTAGGTCTGTCCAGAAGGTATCCAGCCATGCAATATGAGAAATAGAGACATTTACTGAAGAACATACAATACACATTGTACACAGGACAATGACACCTCAGTCCCCTTCAAAGTAGGCACCTTGGGACCTCACACAGTTCTCCCAATCGCCATCAGCTGCCCCATCTTATTTTCCTGAATCTCTTCAACAGTCTGAAATCTCTTCCCTTGCAAAGGTGATTTTAGTTTTGGGAAAAGCCATAGGTCACAGGGCACCAAATCTGGGCTATAGGGGGACTGAGTTACTCAGGTGATTTGATGTTTAGCCAAAAAACTCTGCACAGACGTGACACATAGTGGGCCCACTGTCATGGTGAAGTGGCCAATCACCCGTTGCCCATGGCTGCAGCCTTCTGAATCATCTAAATAGTTTCTACAAAGCACTGTTCAAGCTTAACACAAAATCTGATGCAGATTTGTTGCTCTACTCGCCCATTCTGAATGTGACACCCCCACAGTACATGTGCTCATTCGAGGGTGTCTACCACCCGCACTGAACAGTCCAGTGAGGTCGTCATTGTCCACACATGCGCATGCCAGTCCACTCTCCTTGGCTGCTGGGTTATCACAATGTTGCACAAACTGTCCCTGTGATATTAATAATGGCTGGACTTTTTCCAGACAGACCTCATATACTATGACTTCGAGACAGGAACAGTAAGACCAAGTACACAAAACACTCAAGAAGATGCGTCTCAGTTCTGCAGAGTCATCCCACAACTGCCAACCCATTACTTACATGAGGAAAATATTTTATGAATGATGCTTAAAAGTTTTCCTGAATTACTAAAGAGTCTACAGAAAAAAACTGGCCTATAATCTCGCCAAATAACTTGCTAACTTTAAAAATATATGTAAGTTAACGTACATGGTGAGTGTGGAAGGGTAGGAAATGAAAAAGGAAAGGCGTCCTTTCGGTGGCCCAACCCTCACCCCGCAGTCCCTCTGTGGCAGTTTTAATACCTGACTAACTTCCAGAACCCCCAGTCACCTCGCCCCATCGCATTAACCAATTTAACAAGAGTTTAAAACAAACGCAACCGTACAGGTAAACAAATCTTTTGGGAAAAGTTTATATAAACAAACATGACTCTCAGATTAATCACCACTGGGCATTGTCTACAGCACTGGTCCTCTCTGTTCACAAGGCTGCTCCAGAACCAATTATAATGCATTTGTATTTTTTTCATGTATAGATTTTTAGGGCATTGATTCCTAGGCCTTTCATGTGTATATCTGGTTTCCATTCCACCAAACAGGAAATTTCCAGAGGGCAGTATCTACTGTGTGTCCTTTCTTTAACCTGAAGAAGCACCCAGCTCCATACATGTTTACCTGACTGCTGACTGGGACTGGAATCAGATCCCACACGTAAACTGGAAGCTACTGGCCAAGCCCCTCCCCACCCATGGCTGCCTACAGGTAGAGAGCAGAAGGGAGAACATGCAAAGGGAAGCACTCACTGACCTGCCTGTTCCAAGGCGACCAGCATGGACTGTTCAATGAGGTCTCTCTCTATGAAGCTGCGGAAGTCTTCATTGTACACAGTGAGATCTGGAAGCTGGAAGGCACAGATGGGCATTTCCAGGGGGTGCTCACTGCTCCCCCCACCCCCACCATTGGAGGAGACATGGGACCGGGCCAGGGAAACAATGCTGGAGCTGGCGTGGGAGATGCCCCTAGACAGGCGTTTTTCTGCAATGAGAAATGGAGGCACCTTAGAATATACACAGCTCACTCAGAGAACTTTCCACTCAGGGAAAAACCATGAGTCTCCCTGGCTACCAAATACCACAACCCTCTTTCTCAAGCCAAATACAACTGGAGAAATACAGAAAGCGGTATTTTTGTGTACTCACGCTAACACCAAATATACATTCCTTTCTACCATTTTGGGAATTTTCCAGACTTCCTCTCCCCATGACTCTACTCTGTCTTTTTCCACTTTCATTTCCCAACATAACACTTGCATCCCTTCATCTGGCAACCTGGTCACTGTTTGGTGAGAGGAAGAGGGAATACGGGAAATGGGGCTGCATTTGGGTAGACTGACTCAAACAGTACCTCCAATCATTTTCAGGGTCTTGGAGAATATAGAAAAGGATTTCCATTATAGAAATTTAATGAAAAATCTTACACACTCAGGAACTTCCTTACCTACCATCAATAACATTTATTTACCTTATTAACTACTACTTTTCTTGATATTCCTATTTACCAGAAATGTGTAGGTATAGTCAATTCTTATTTAACACGCTACAGAGGAAGACAGTAATGTAGACAGTGCCTCAAGTTATTTATTTTGATTACAAGGCACTTACAATCCCCCAGCAGATACCCCACTGGGATAATTTGCTCAGTGTAGTATTACAATTCATTTGCATGGTATGGTTTGGGTTATATAAATATTATCAAAAGAGCTAAAAAATGTATTGGGTAGCAGTTCTTAAACCAGTGTTTACCAGAGGTGATGCACAAAGTCGAGATTTGTTTAAAAGTTATTTTTAAAAACAAAATTATTATAGAAGTTATTTTATAGTGATGTTATTTTCTTTCTTATGATTTTATTTATTTATTTTTAGAGAACAGGGGAGGAAGAGAAACATAGATGTGAGAGAGAAATACCAACTGAATGCCTTTTGTACATCCAGGGACTGACCCTGTAACCCAGGCATGTGTCCTGATTGGGAATTGAACTGGGGACCTTTCACTCTGTGGGATGATGCCACACTGACCCACAAGGTTCAGGGCTAGTGATGTTATTTTTTAAAACTCTTTTTTTAGGTATTTGAAAAGTACCACATGCCCATTGTGAAAATCAAATACTATCAAAAGGTACAAACGTTACAAAGAAATTTCCCTCTCATTCAAAATTCCTGATCCCTTCACCAGAGGCAAACTTTCATAGTCTTCTAGAAGTTTTTGTACACATAGAAGCGTATATAACTTTCAAAATCATTTTTAAAACTTAAACAGGAGCAAACTATATATTGCATCTTACTCTTCTCAATAAATTCTAGAGATTTTTCCAAAACATCACATGGAGTGCCACCTAATTCTTTCTAACAGCTGTAGAATATTCCACAATATAGATTTTTACAATTTATTTAACCACTCCTCTATTAATGGACATTACAAGTTGTTTTCAGTCCTGTCTGGTGTGGCTCAGTGGATTGAGTGCCAGCCTATGAACCAAAAGGTTGCCGGTTCGATTCCCAGTCAGGGCACATGCCTGAGTTGCAGGCCAGGTCCCCATCCAGGGGCGTACAAGAGGCAACCAATTGATGTATCTCTTGTATATTGATGTTTCTCTCTCTCTTTCTCCTTCCCTTCCCCTCTCTCTAAAAATAAATAAATAAAACCTTTCAAAAAAAGTAGTTTTCAAGCTTTAACTTTCAAGCTTTACATGTGTCTATTTATATATGTATGTATTTATTTAAAGGATATGGAGATATATGCGCACGTAAACACAAGATAAATTCCTATAAATGAAACCGCTGAGTCAGGGGGATATACGCATTTCTAAATTTTGGTAGTGACAATATTAGCAGAATGGTCTCCAAAGAAGTAGATGGTGGTGACCCTTTGAATTCTATTTTTAGGTGTCCCTTATCTCAACAGTTAGATTGTATCCCCCTTTCTCCATTTTTTCACAGCATCTGAAGAAGGCGTTTACACTGGATAACACTCCAAATGCAGAGTGACAGTGAGGGGCTCCAGGACCTGGACAGCCTGGCCACCTCTGACCATCTGACTGGGGACAAGGGGAAGAAAAGGAACATCTCCAAAGGGTCACTAAACTCTGGCTCCATTTAACAGCCCTGCCCTTCCTTTCTACTCTGTACACAGAAACACCCCTCAGTCACTCCAGTACCTTGAACGATGTCATCCTGCCGCTGCAGGGGAGGTCGGGGAGGGCGAGCAGACTCTCTATCAGAAAACCCCTTTTCTGGGGTCCTGGAGGTACCGCTGCCTTCACTAAAGGGTTGGGGCAGGCTCCCGGCATGGACCTGACGTAGCTGTTCAAAATCACTGAGGGCAGCGCTCACATCCCAATTCTTTCCTGTCAGGAGACACAGCAAACAGTGAATTGAGCACTCAGAGCACAGGGAAACTGAGGGAAGACACTCAATGATCAGTCTGCCTATCCCATCAGAATCAGCAGGCATGTACTCACACACACTTCGATCCCTCTCCTTTCCTTACTCAGCTTTAACTTCCTAACACTTCTATCTGAAACATCACAATTTCTTTACTTATTGTCAATATCCTAAGTAAGCTCCGTGAGCATAGAAATTTTGTCTCTCTGTACTGGAAGGGCCCTTGAGAGACCTAGAAACCTCATTTTACATGTAAAGGATATGAAGCTTACTGAAGTAGGGTGACTTGCCTAAAGTCACAGCTACCCTGTACCAGGCCCAGCAGGAGTCAAGACGAGGTCCCCTAATCCTGAGATCCAGAGGGTTATTTACCCAGATGTCCTTTAGGATGTCCTAAGCCACCTGAAATTGTACATAAAGTTATAGTTACGTGCATCTTTCTGAAGAAAGAGCAACTAGCTGTCATTAGATTGTCAAAGGGAATTAACCTCTCCAAACTGAAGAATCACTGCTCTCCTGAAGACCCTAAAAGATAGATCTGCCATATGGTTTTTCCTGTTGCTTTCTCCAGTTAAATTATTCAATAAATAACATGCTGCACAATTGTTCACTCTTTCTCCTGTTCTATTCCATCTGCTACCACCTTAACATAATTCCTATTGCCTAGTGTCCCACCTCCAATCCACTCTAAGGAATTCCATGAGACTACTCTTTCTAAAGCACAGTTCTGATCATTTTGATGTCCTAATCAAAGTCTTTACTGTCTTACCACTGTCTATGGAACAAAGCCTAGGCTCTTGTATGTGACATTCACGGCTTCCTATGACCTGGTTTACTCTTCTTTTTCTATTTTTTTAAGAATTTATTCATTTATTTTTAGACAGAGAGGAAGGGAGAAAGAGAGGGAGAGAAACATCAATGTGTTGTTGTCTCTCACATGCCCCACACAGGGAAGCCTGGCCCGCAACCCAGGCATGTGCCCTGTCTGGGAATCGAACCTGTGACCCTTTGGTTTGCAGGCCAGCACTCAACCCACTGAGCCATGCAAGCCAGGGCCCTGGTTTACTTTTCTAGTCTTTTTTGCTATACTTCAATTTCCCTGGCTATGAAAGTGGAGGCGATATTAGGTTGTTACCAAGATTAAGTGAACTGAAAGCACTTGGAACAATGTTTGGTACACAGAAAGCATTATCCATGTGCATAATCATGTTGCTGTTATGTTTCTTATTATTATAGTTCTCCAGTTAACTGTATTAATCATCCATGTCTGCTGAATTTACTTCTGAACCATTACACTCATCATTTGTCCCAACTCCCTCTGCTCAGTCTGCTTCAGTCATACCGGCCTCTTTGCTCTTCCTAGAACATGCTAAAGACTGTGCCCACCTACGGCCTTTCCGCTAACTCTTCCCGCTGCTCCTTCCCCAATATATCCACACAGGTGACTCCTCAGCCCCTTCAGGTACTTGCTCTAACATCACATTCTTAGTAAGGCCTACCCTGACCACCCAATTAAAATCACAGCCTCATCATTCCCCTATTTTCCATAATACCTTATAAAACAGTTTACTTGGTTATCATGTTTGTTGTCTATTGACTATCTTTCCCACTAAAAGGGCAGAGGTTTTTGTTTGTTTTGTTCAAGTATCTAGAACCTGGCACATAGTAGCTACTCAATAAATATTTTTTGAAAAACAGAGAACTTCTGTCCTGAATGAATGAATGAATGAATGACATCTGTCTTGAGCACTAGATCTGATCTCCAGCTGTCTGCTGAACTCCTTAAAATCAGGGCCTCCTAAACAATCAACACGTCCAAAGCTGAAAGTCCATCATCTTCCCTCCCAAAACTCACTTGTTTTCCTCCTCCCCCATTCTCTCAGTCAGCAATGGCATCGGTCCCTCCAACCCAGAAACATCAGTCCTCTCCAGCTCCACACTCGTCCTCAGATGCCACTCTTCCTCTTCCCTCACTGTCCAGTCAGTCTTCAGGGCTGTCTGTCTGTCCTTCACACAGCTCTCAAATCTCTCCTTGCTCAAGTCCTGATAATCTTCACCTGGTCTTTGGTCTTTTGGGAGGGGCTCTCTAGTCTCTCCTAATCTATCTCCTATCTTATTTATTCTTTTTTTCCTCCAATTCGTTCTTTATATTATAACCAGGGTTAACTTTTAAAGGAAAAAGAGACAGAAAGAGACAGAGAGAAAATGACAATCAGGCCCTTTGATTCCACTTCTAAATTGTATCTTAAACCCATCCACCCCTCACTCTACTGCTACCGTTGTAGTTCAAGTTACCATCCTCTCTCACCTAAACTACTGCAATATTCTTAACTGATTGTACCACTTCTCCTCTGGCCACCTTCCAATCCATTCCATACCTTTCAACTAGTACACTGTTAAAAACTCAAATCCAATCATGTCACTCCCCTGGTTGAAATCCTTCACCAGCTTCCCACAGAAGAAAGAAACTCTAGCTCCTTGCCATGGCCTACAAAGGCGCCCACCACATTCTGTTTCCTGCCTATCTGACCAGCTTCCTACCTTCTTACACCAGTCTTCCTACCTCATTCACTCTTGGTTTTCTTCATGTGCCAAACTCTCCTTCTCTTTGGGGTCCCTGTATAAGCTAATTCTTTTAATAAGCAAGCATTCTCTTCCACATTCCTTTGTCTTCCTACTCCTACACATCCTTCAGGGTTCAGTTCAAATGCCACTTCCTCAGGAAGGCCTTTCTGCACTCTAGCTAATTTTGGTTTCTCTCTTGAACTTCCATAGCATTTCTTTCATAGCATGAGTGTGTGTGCACTTGGGTATGGGGGGTGTGTGCGAGAGAGAGACAGAAAGAGAGAAAGAGAACACACAAGCATTAATTTGTAATAGAATTGTTAAGAGCCAGACTCTGAAACCAGACTACCTAGGTTCAAATCCTACTTAACTCTCTGAACCTCAGGTTTAAAATTATAATACTGGAAATTTAAACCCCGATCTTCTGTTCCCAAACCAAGGCTCCACTCATAAGCAGCTAAGCAAATGTCAAATGGTGACACCTTTCTCACAATCTAAAAAATTACCCATTTATACTATGAACTTGCCCCTTCCCCTACAGGCTTATCTATTCGCATCATTATATATTTTCATCATCAAAAAGCCTCTGTTAGTAATGATGCCAAACAAAGAATTCCACACTGCATAATTCCAAGCCTTAAGGTCCTTAAGACCTAAAACATTCACAATGACATGTATATACAGATATAAGTAAACAAATGGAGCAAAACTAACTCACTCTAAACAGAATTACCCATATAAAGTAGGAAAGGAAAAAAACAAAACCTGAATGATCCCAAATATGAAAATCCAAAAACCATTTAAAGTGGAACCTTGGTTCTTGAGCTTAATTCGTTCTGGAAAACTATTCAAGAAGCAATCTGTTTGAAAACCAAGTCTCCTTTGTCTGTCGCCTGAGACACGTGACTAACATAGACATCAGCATGAAAGGATTCTGGGGTAGAGAAGTGAGACCTGAGGTTTTGTTAGAAAACCAAAACATTTTTTCCATGAACAACTTGGTTGAGAACCAAGACATTCAAAAACCAAAGTTTGACTGTTTAAAGATGTCTTAAAGATCTAGAGTTATGCTTTCAGTGAACTAATGTAAAATTTCACTTGTTATTACCTGAGTATTAAATTGGCAGTGCAGAAAGCTACCCTAAAAAAAAATTCAAGGCAAAAGGATGATTTTGCATTTTAAATTTATGGTGAGTCACACACAGAGTAGATTGTTAGAAGTAATTTAAATGTAAGGCCTACCATACACAAAATGTCTTTCTGATCACCTTAAATTTCCCAAATCATCTTAATAAATACCACATTTTACTTTCTTCTCATTCTCCCCCAGTGACCTCTTACCTTCTAGGAGGTCTCGGGCCAGCCCTGGCTCAGCTCCTGTGGAACGAACAAAGTCCGACAGGACAGCATCCATGTCCAGGGTCATGAGATCATTAAGTACCTCCAGGCAGTGGATGTAAGGAGGACATCGATCAAAATTCAGGCCTCCACCTGAGGAAGAAATAAACACGTAAGACTCAAATGGTTTCTCTCAAATGGTTTCGGCACTGGAATGGAATGATCACGGCCCAATTGCCGCAGCTTCCTAACCAAATGCAGAAATTGACCATCCCAGCTCATTTATTTCAGTTGAATTTATTATGAAGAGTAACAATGAGTTTCCTAATTCCTCATTAATATTTTTTGACTAATACATTAACCACAAAACCACAATACCACTCCAAACAATGCTCTTCCTCCACCTTTCTAGAGTATTACATTTCTACCCATCAATTTGCTCACCCAAACTAATCCAGACTGCCACCCTGAAGAAGTCCCCACCCACATTCTTCTCTAACAGAGCACCTTGTTCATTTCCTTCCTGGTACTTTACTATGACCCAAAATCATTGTGATCAGTTACTATACAGTCTCCTCCTCTAATATGTAAGTTTTCTTGAAAGTAAAGAGCTTGTGCGTCCTGTTCCCTAATGTGTCCCCAGCATGTATCACTTGGCACTTGGCACAGTGCTTGGCACACAGGCCCTCAGGAAATATTTGCTGAGTGAATGAATAAAAGAATGAATGAATACTATACACTAAATAATTGAGTTACCACTCTTCTGATGCTAGTGAGGAAATGGGAGGAGCAATATGATCACTAGAACAGCTCAAAAGAAAAACTATAAACTGTTTGCAAAGCAGAGTAGAGATCCCAAAGGGCCATAACAAAAGTCAATCTTTGTCCACTAACTCCACAAGACTGCCAAATAAGTTCACCTGAAAAAGATCTCTTCTTTCAGACTTGACTTTGGCAGAATCTCTGTCCCTGACTGACAGCCTGGCACCAATCCACATTCCTCTGAAGAATCCACATTCCTCTGAAGTTAGCAGTCCCAGCTGAGGAAGCAATCAATAATGGAGTGAGGAACAACCGCTAGCCAAATTCTGCCATGTCAGGCAGGTTGTTTGCAGTTCTCTGGGGAAGAGGATTTGTTCATCAAGTCACCAGGAGCACACACACCTGCCCCACCATATCCACCAATCCCCTGCCTTTTGGGGAAGGCAAAAGTAGCATTCTCAAAGGTAACAGGTGACTCAGGTGACAGTCTCTCCAACCCCAGGACCCAGCTTGTTTAGTGATGTCATCAGATCCTGATTTTCCGCATGCCTTAAATATAAAGGCAATCATTTGTGGGTTATAAACCCAGTAGAGGTCACTAACTTGGTAACACTGATTTTTTATAGGAGAGAGAGAGATGGCAAAATAAAAAGTATTCTCTCTTGTACTGTGTTGCAGTAGTACAAGAGATCTTGAGTGCCGGGACATGTTTTAGTTACGTTTGTAGATGCTAGCAAAGCATCTACAATATTGTAGGCAGTCAATCAACACCTGAAGAATGAATGAGCCTCCACATCAGTCACCACCGAACCAATCAATCTGAGGCTTAATTTAGCAGATCAAAAGTTCCAGGATACTTCATACTTCACATCACTCCTCTATTTCTAAGGGCCTCCCCTGGTCCCAGCCATCTCTCCGAGTTTTAGAATATCTCCTTTCTAAAAAGACATCAGCTGTACTGTCACTGCTTCCACCATCCTCATGTCCTATGATTTGTACCAACACCTCCATGTATTAGCCGGTGACTCTTGTCGAATTACTCACAGGGTTTCAGCTGCCTCTTGTATACCCCAGACTTGAATTCTATGACTTCTAAGATCCTTTCCAGATTTAAAAAATGAACTTCTTAGGTTCAATACAGCCTCATAAACTGTGGTCCTTATATTCTCTTTTGGTCTACACATTATCAATATCTAATTTAGTTCCATTTCAATATCACAACTGTCACAAAAGGCTACCAATTCACAAACTACTTTTTCCCTAAGATACCTAAACTTCAACATGTTATAAATCAGTTCCTTACATTCAATACTTGAGAAACAAATTCCTTCACAATTCATAGATGAGTGAGTGTCTTCTCCCTCCCCCAATACAGACAAGAATTCCTTCTCTGGGCCCACTTCAGTCACTGTTTTAGATCACAGGACAAAGGAGTGGCCCAAATAACTCAGATGCATGAATAATCCCAAACCAAGCGCATGCTTAAAAATGATTTCAATCTTCTAAAAAAAAAAACATGCGAAGGAACTTAGTAAAGCCTCTTTAATAACCTTCTGAGAGAATGAGGGAAATATACACTAAGCACACAAATAGCAATCAGCAAAAAAGAGCTCAGTGGGAGAGAAAAGAGTTGATTAAGCCACAGGCATGTAGGTAATTTCCCAGACAGACACAGGCTTCTGAGTGAGAGAAGCCAATGAATACCATCAAGTCTAGGCATCATAGATCTCATGTGCCAACACAGGAGGCCATTCTTTCCAAAAATATTTTCTTTAAAGATTTTATTTACTTACTTTTAGAGAGAGGAAGAAAGGCAGAAAGAAATGCAGAGAAACATCAGTGTGTGGTTGCCTCTCACACACCCCAAACCAGGGACCTGGCCCACAACCCAGGCATGTGCCCTGACTGGGAATCAAACCGGTGACCCCCTGGTTTGCAGGCTGGCACTCAATCCACTGAGCCACACCAGCCAGGGCTCCAAAAATATTTTTAAAAAATATTTTAGAGGTCCAACATTATCTAGCATGACTTGCTCAAAAATTCAAAGCACTGCCCTGGCCAACATGGCTCAGTTGGTTGGGCATCATCCCACAAACCAAAAGGTCTAGGATTTGAACCAGGTCAGGGCACACGCCTGGGTTGCGGGTTTGGTATCTGGTCAGGGCACGTAGGAAAGGCAAGCAATCGATGTCCCTCTCTCACACTGATGTTTCTCTCTCTCTCTCCCCGACTCCCTTCTCCTCTCCCTTAAAAAAAAAGAAAAAGCACAACACCGTACTTCTTGGCAACACATTTTATAGTTGATGTCTCCAGGTGCATGCCATGGACTCCACCCTAACCCCACTCATCAGGTGAGGACAGCTGCTTTTGTTACATCACCACCAACACCTGGCTGCAGCGTCTCAAATTCCAAACGGGAATATCCACGGCAATGACTAAGATTCACAGTCTGTGGCTCTGCCTCAGCACACAGGAAGGAAAGGAAGAAAACAAAATGCTGGCTTTCAAACTTTCCAATGAAACAGAAGCAGCACTCAAATAGCTGTTGACTGAATGGTATTCAGACAAATCTCAGTTGGAGTCAAAGTCCTCCAATCTTCCAACTGGAAGACACTCCAGCTTCAGCAATTATTCAATCCAATGTCTCCTCCACGCAAGAAGCCTTCTATTAGGTCTGGCAGATCAATCATCCAGTCTCCACATGAATACAAGCTTTGATGGAGAGCTCATTCCCCTGCCAGGATGTCCATTTTATTGTTAGACAGCTCTAATTGTTAGAAAATGCTTTTCTAAACGAAACCACCAGCCCTCCCCCACCTATAATTTTCACATAATGGCCCTTGTTCTGTTCTCCAGAACAATAAAATCTACTCCCGGGATGATGAAATTGTCATGGAAACGATTAAATTAAGCATTTCTTTACAGAAAATTGTATTGTCGATCAACACTGCAATGTCATGGGCCAGCCAGTGTAGCCTTTATTTTTAAAAATCCTTCCTTACAGATCAGCACTTGCTTTTACCTGTATTCATTCATAATTGTTTATGCTGACTCTATAGTAGACATTCAACATGTGGGATAAATGAAATCGGGTACCTTGTTCCAAATTCACTGCTGCTATCTTTGCCTCTCATTCCTACGTTTACTTACATGCTCTCCTGAACTGATGCCAACAATCGAGGATAAAAAACAAGTTAATATTAAGCACGTTCAAAAACACTGTCCTATTCATTAATGACAAACCTCCTGCAGCAGGCCTATCATTCCCAGTGTTCAGACAGAGAAAAAAAGCTTGAAGAGTCAGGCGGGTTGCTGGAAGTCTGCACACATGCTCCACCACACTGCCTCCCAAGGGACGAGGGCTTTACTAGAGAATCAGTGTGATTCCCAGAACCACACTGACTTTCTTACCCATTTAATTCATTCACCAACAGGAAAGGGCTGTGCCTCTCTCTCATATTTATTATAGACCTAGGCACCCACCTTGTATTCCCCTCATTTCAAATCCTACCATTTTTCTCAGCAATTTCAACACCCACCTAAACAATCCATCCAACGTTTCTGCCTTAGAGCTTCATAATCTCATCAAATGCAAAGACTTCCATCTCTACTCCAACAACTCGGTCCTGGATCCTGCCATCTCCTGAAACCGCTCCACCTCTAAATCTTCAACTCTCAATATCTTACTCTGGCTACAACCTCGTCCCCTTCCAGCCTTTCCTCTCCACTACTGAACCTGCTCTCTCACCTCAAGGCTTCCTCATCTCAGGCCATCCAAGTCCTTAGCCATTTTATTCGTTAATTCGACAAAGAATTTATGGAGCGCCCACTAGGTGCTAGGCATTTATGGTCAGGATTAGGAACACAACAGTGGATGATGAACAACCTCCATCCTCACAAAGCTTCCAGTATGGAAAAAGAGAACCAGAAAATTTCACAATTGTAATTTACTAAAGAAATGGTGAGGAGAGGTGATATCTCCTATAGGGAGGCAAGAAAAGCTTTCTCAAGGAAGTGATACTACATCAAGAATTTAAACATGAATAGAAACTGGAGAAACAAATTGAAAAAGAAAGAATGCCCTGAGCAGAAGAAACGTGCACACCTGAGGCAGGAAGGAACGGAGAGGTAAGAATGGTGCAAGGTGAGGAGGGAGAAAGGGCCCAGCAGGCCCTGTTGAAGGTGGAGACCTGATCCCCAGGCACACGGAACCAGGGAGTGCATAAACAAATAGAACAACAAACCAACAATTCTTTGTCTCTTTCCCTCTCTCTCTCTCCTGCCCCCTCTCTCTAAAAATCAATAAACTAAAACATTTTTTAAAAGATTTTATCCTAAAAGTATTAAGAAGCCACTGAAGGATTATTAGCAGAAACAGGACGTAATTAGACTTGAATTATTACAAAATCATCAAACTTGCAGTGAGAAAAATAGTACGGAGGGAGCGCAAGAGGATTTAGGGAGAAGTGACTGGAATATTATTACAAAAGAGATGATGGTAAGCTGGCCTGGGTATAATAGCAGTGAAGACGGAGAAAAATGAATAGATTCCACTGTGTCCTTTCTTGCCTAACTGAATGTGAATCCAATGATTGATCACATATTTTCCTGTAAGAACCTAGTCCTTATCCTACTGTTTCATCTGCCCAATAAAGACAGATCCCACATTCAACTTCTCTGCTACTGAATGGGGCTATTGAGCAGAACAAGATCACATAACCTTGCAGAGAAACACAACTACAGACAGATGGTACCGAGTCTCATTCCCGCCAGTGAGGCACTGCTCTCTGTTGACTTTGGTGCCTCAACCAAACCTGTAGTACTACCCCCTACCTTCACCGTTGTCCTCGAGCCTCTTACTTGTCATTTCTCTTACTCCTGTCGGATGACCCTGCCTCCAACTTCACAGAAAAAAATTACAAAACAAAGCAAGAAAGTTCCTTCGGGTTTCTTCCCCTGCCCCTACCTGCTGGCTGGCTCCTCTTCCCTGCAGAACTCACCAAAATATTCACTGATGCTATTTTCTCACCGTGTATTCAGTCCTCAACCTACCAAAATAGCCTTCTAGTGAAAGAGAATGAAGATTCCTCAAAAAATTAAAAATAGGACTACCATATGACCCAGCAATTCCACTCTTGAATATTTATCCAAAGAAATCCAAAACACTAATTCAAAAAGATATATGCACCCTATGTCACTGCAGCATTATTTACAATAGACAGGATATGGAAGCAACCTATCTGCCCATCAATAGATGAATGGATAAAGAAAATGTAGT